AACCAGTAAAAGTGCAAAACTCACAAAAAAAAACCTTTACTACCTCTAAATTAAAGAAAAAACTGGTTAAAAATGGACTACAACATCAACTTCGACTACATTATATAATATTCCTCATCTAGGTCCAACAATTTTGATTTTTTAAGATTTCTTTTATTTTTTAAGATTTTTTAAGTTCTACACTAGGTACGTCGACGATGTATTAATAATTTACGAAGGTAACCTCGCAATGCTTAGCGCTCTCATGAATGTTTTTAATAATATTAGCTGTCTACAATTCACCATCGAGAAGGAATCTAACCGCAGCATTAATTTCCTAGATATAAACATAAGCAGACATACAAATGATAAATCATTAAATTTCAATATATATAGAAAGCCAACTGCTACTGATTGTGTGATACCTAAGAATTCTTTCAATTGCATGAGCCATAAAACTGCAGCATTCCGATTCTTCTTCCATAGAGCTACACACATTCCGCTTAGAAATAGAGACTTCACCAATGAATTAATTCTGATAACTGATATTGGATTTAAAAATGGATTTGATATAAAAGATATTCAGACTTTTTACAATAACTTCCATAGCAGTAATATAAACAAGCTAATTTTCCCTAGATGTAAACAAAAACTAACTTATTTAAAATTACCTTATCAACCTAATCTACAATACAAATTTAAAGAAATCCTATTCAAACATAACATTAATGTCGCCTTCACAAACAACAATAACATGAGTCAAATACTTATAAACAACAAACAGAAATTTAAAAAGAACGAAATGAGTGGTATCTATAGATTAAAACGTAGCGACTGCGAGAAATTTTATATAGGACAAACAGGAAGAAACATTACCACGAGATACAAAGAGCACATTACAAGAAACAAGTTCGTCTTTTATAAACACCTTGAAGAATATAAACACAAACCCAGTGAACTGGATTTATATTATTAAAAATCTTAAAAAATCAAAATTTTTGGACCTATACGAGGAATATTATATAACACTGAACAAAAAGAATTTCCCAGAGCTATTATTATTCGTTATTATTGAACGATATAACTGACATCAATAACAACAGAATATTTTTAAAATTAATACAGTGATCTTTAATTTGATTCTGCCACTTTATTTCATTCACGTGACCATATTCCCGCTATATACTTTAACATTTAAGGTTATAATTTTCACCTAATCCGGTTTTACATCGTGTTCGTCTTAATTTTTAATGTGTGCCCAATTAACTTGTGATTTGATATCTGATTATTCGAAGAAAAAATTTTTCCGTTGATTTATAGTGCCGTAACATTTAGTTGGATCGTTTATATACGAGATAATTTTGTTTAAACATTAATATTTGTAATTAGTTCAATATTCTACAACCTTCACCTGTAAACCCATCTGACGGTAATTAATTTAATAGTTTTTATTTGTATTATTTACTTTGTATTTTTAATTTTAGTCCTGCCTGATGACGACTCTGTTGTGAGTCGCACTAATCCTGAACAGTTAATAAATTTTCATCTTTACATCTAAATTCCTTTATTAATCTGTTGTTTATATTGAAATATAAATAACGTTTTCTGGGGCAAGGTGCTAATTTACATTTCTTTCAATTTTTAAAATATCCAATTGTCAACTTTTGTTGCAACAAAAATGTTGAAGAATGTGGTAGACAAAATCAGTCCATTTGTAGCGTTTTTAAAAAAAATTAAACTACTGATGACTCGAAAAGTTTTCAATGTTCAATCAACAAAACAAAAAATAAATAACAATTCGACAAAACGCCACGATATGGTAGGGTGCCGGCCAATCTCATAGGAGAAGGGGGTGGATTTAATAACAGAATAGGGCGCCAGTGGATCTGCAAATAACCCTTAACAAATCCAACTGCAACAGGGTCTACACTGTTGCAATTGGTGTGACGTAGAAAGAAAAAAAAGCGTAAAAAAAGCGTTTTATTACTGATTTTTCATACTTATTTCCGCATAAATAATGCGTCGGATATGTTCAAACCACTAAATCGCACGAATTTTATACTTTAACTATAGAAGTTAACTAATTATTCCCATTTTTATGTAAAAATTGGACTTTTTTCTAAATTGATAAATTTTCAAGTTCAATTTATGATATGTAACCATAGAAACCATAAAAGTTACAACTTATGTTAGTGAAAAATATACGGACAAATCAAATTAAAATATGGCTAAATAATTGAATAAAATATTTTAAATGTAAATGTATGTAATAACACACTATGTAAGTTTGTAAGTGAACGAATCAATTATTCGGCACACATTTGAAGACAAGTTCTAAATTCTTTGAAAGAATTACGAATTTACGCCAGTGGTAGCGATTTTATCGCATTAATTATTCTTAGTTTTAATAGTTCTGCATCACCCTGTAATAGTTCACTGTAAACAATTTGCTTCAATCGTTCCCAAAAATAAAAATCCATAATTGTAAGATCAGGACTATGTGCTGGTCATAAAATAGGACCATTTGGTCACAATGTATGATGGTGAGCTGGGCAACCGTCGTGCTGAAAATACATTGACCGTATAAAATTTAATGGTAATTCATCAAGTTGTTCATTAAAATAATTTTGTAACATATCCAAATATTTCTGTTGATTTACATTTCCGTGGAAGAAATATGGCCCAATTATCCCGTGATATGTTACAGCACACCACACATTTACTTTTTTGAAATGTTGACTTCGTCTAGAGAGTGTAGAATTTGGATTTACATCACTCTTCTATGGTTACATATCATAATTTGAACTTTGAAAAATTTTTAGTTTAGAAAAAAGGTCAAATTTTTACATAAAAATGGGAATAATTAGTTAACTTCTATAGTTAGAGTATAAAATTCGTGCGATTTAGTGGTTTGAAATAATCCGACGCATTATTTATGCTGAGATAAGTTTGAAAATTCAGTAATAAAAATTTTTTTCCTCTTTGTAACTCGATCCGGGGACATACTGTATATAATAGAGTAAAACTCAAAATATAAATAATTGTAAATTAAAAAAAAAGTGAGTATACAAATTCTAGAATTGAAATGAATTAATTGATGGTTTACTCGAGTAACAGAAGATTTTACAACAAAAAAAAAAGTAATGAAATTTATATTGAATAACTAATGTAAAAATATTGTTTTTCTCTTAAAACAAAAGAAATTTAATGTTCTATTTAAAGTTCGATAATAAAGAAAAATAAAGGAAGATAATTTTTGTCGACGAACGCGTTCTGCAGATTTTTTTTTCTCGGCGATAAACAAAGATAGATCTGACCTGATAGCGATGTTTTCGGTAATTTTCAATAAATTCCAATGGTTGAAAAATGGTAAATATGGCGGTCTTTCGAAATTGTCGGACGACGCGTGAGGTCGTAATTATTTGGACCAAAAAAAAAGCTAGAAAATCGTAAAAATCTGATGTAACTACGGTTACAAAAAAAAAATCAAATTGCTTACCGTTTCGTCCGATACTACAAATATAACAAAACGCTTTTCAAAAAAAAAAGCAACAATAAAAACCGTTCCCAAAAAGCGAATTAAATTAATCCTCACAAGGAGTACGACAAAAGAATAACTAATTATCCAAATCTTTCGTCGAAATTTCAACTATTATCTCCGATCCCAAATAACTTGGAGGGCACGACACAAACAACCCTTAATTTTGGAGATAAAATTGATTTCAATCCGCGTTTATGGTAACACTCGTGCAATTTTTACTCTTACTTGTCGAAATTCGACCACGATCTGCCCGTCCACCCGAAATTCGCCTCGCCGAAAAAAACCCGCTTCGCCAAAAAACGCGTAAAACCAAAACAGAAAAATATATCCCCAAAATTATTAAACCCAAAATACAAATATTTAAACTAAATGAATTTTTAATTTTTACTAAATAAAAAAACGTTACACACTCACTGAGGCTCGTTACAACCATCTTCTGGTTAAGCTATCTAAGGGATTATTACCATGGTTAAGGCTATTTTAAGCGCTCTGATTGGCTAGTAGATGGGTTTATCTATAAGATAAATTTAACTAAAAGATGGTAGTAATGGACCTGAGTCGTTGAAACATTTAATCAGCGAATTTTGAGATCGGGCATTTACATCATTGCATTCACCGTGAATCGTACTTTCGATCAAGATGTTAATGACTAAAATTGGTCATTTAGTTAAGGAGATAACTGATGTGTTTGATTAATTCGTTTTTTGTGTTTTAATCAAAATCCTTTAACATTTCGAATCGGAAATTTTGACATATGCATTCAGCCAGACGCAAGCTTTCATTTGTGATGTAAAACATTAAAATCCGTCAAACCGTTCTCTAATTATAGTCGATTTAGTTGAAATAATTTTTTTTATATGGGGGGCTAGACTTTCAGGGGCACAAACAACGAGCCGAACACGGTGTTATTCCGAGGGCTGTTCAACGTTAACGGGAGAGAATTGAAATCGCGCATTTTGTGATTTCGATAGAAGAAACTATGACAAATCGGATGACATATAGATCTTGATCATCGGGTACATCGTTTACGACTTATCACCACTTAAAAAAGGTAATTTTTCTGTTATTTTCGTGTACCTTCGCATTATTTTGGCGTTTTAGAGGAATTCGAAAGAGATTTCGAATCAGGCATTTCCACTTTCGTATTGGCCAAGGATTGAGCTTTCGAATGAGACATTGTTTATCGAAATCGGTTGACTGGTTCTCTTGTTATAATCAAAACACTGTACATATAAAATCTTATCTGATGGGGGGCTAACTTCGCATAGCTCTCTAAATCGTCGCGTTTTACTTTTGTGTCCTTTCAATCAATATATTAGTCATGGAAAAGTATGTTTTAATTTTGCTCTTATCTTATATTAATTAACCGTATGATTCATGTACTTATACTTCTACTACATAACGTGTTATATTTATCGTAATACCCTTCCCTTATTCTCTATTTTTCTTTATCTCAACCCCCGTTGTCCCGAGTACTTACTCACTAATGTGACGTAAGGAAGGGTGGTCTTATTGAAATGCAGGGTTGTGCAGGCGTCCTCTTGCCGCTTCGTCTGCGACCCTATCTGCACCTCCATGACGTGACTATCGCGCCGATAGAAGGACATGCACGTGTACCCGCTTTGGCTGCAAACAAAACGAGATGGAGAGTTAGAGGAAGGCATCGCGACGCCCTCGGCATTTCAGAATATGGTGGAGGATGCCTCGCGGGGAAAGCATCCGCTTACCAGCCGGTGGTGAAGTGCGTGAGCAGCTGCACGAAGCTTTCGTCGCGCGTCACGTGCTTTACTTGCGCGCATACAATCTTCATCTCCAGGCTGGACGTGTTGGTAATACGGAGTGTTGAGTTCCGATGGTGAAAACTGTACGTGTAGGAGAAGTCGAGTGTGTGCCAATGATTATAATTTGCTATCCATGATGGAAATCGGCATTTGTTTAAAGATGGTGCTGCAAAGAAACAAAAAAAATAATTAATCTAACATTTATTTATTATCAATTTAAATTGAAAAAAGTAAACTTTGAAATTTATTGTTGAAACTCAACTCCCACTTTTCTTTTCACGTTATGTTTCCGAGCATGTTTCTCTTTTGTATAGACTCAAAGCCGAGACGAGGTTAATTTAATATTTCTTCTCTCCGATCGTTTTCGTTCGCCAGCGCTACCCTTTAATTGGGCGGATTAAGGCCCGTCGTAGGTCTATTTGTTCAACGTCGTGTCGGTGGCCCTTATGGTCAGTTGAGGGAGGTTTCCGACGCCGCCGCCCTTACAGCTCTCCTTTACGCCCTTGCATCACCTGGCACGTTTATTACCCGCTCGTATTTCTCAATTACAGAAGTTGTCACGCTAATAAATTGATTGCGCGCCGACGGAGATATGAAAGGGAACAAAAATTCAACGTAAATAATAGAGATGAATTACCACTTTTAGTGCACGTTTTCCTTTGTTGAAACGAATGTCAGTGTCTTGGTAACAGTGTTTTAGAGGAAGTGAGAAGCTACAAAAAAGGATTAATTAAGTCTGTTTGGAAAGATTTTGGGAGAGCAGTTAAAACAAAAATATCTTTGTAGACTCTAATAGTTTATTGAGAGAATAACGATTTATCTTTGTTCGTTCATTTCCTGGAAAAGCGTTTAAATTTTCGAAAGGGGGCGAAGCAGTGTCGAATCGAATAGTCAACTTCGCGGTCCGCATAAATTAGCAAGTAAATAAATTAACCACAAGCACCTAATCACGTCCGTGCCGGTTTGCAAATGGTCCGCACCGCATAAATAACCTCGTTCCGGTTGCGGTGTTATCGGATGCAACTTCCGGTCGAATCGGAATTTGTTGCTGCTAGATGGCAGTCACTCGTGACGCGTTTCCGACGTTAGAGATTGATGCGTCGTCGGCATCGTCGACCGCTTTCCAGAGGGCTTTTCACGGATTTTTTGCTCGCTTTCTTTAGATAGAATGAGTTCTCCTCAACCCAACACTTTTTGTGGGAATTCTTAAATCGGGAAACACCATCTAACATCCTATATTGATATTTACTTAACGAAGCTGTTCGTAAACTATTAAGAAAATCAATCATGAAAGAGTCATTGATTCGTTTACTGTTGATGTATATTTCGTGTTCACGCTTAATAAGATACACATTTTTGGCGTTCAACCAAAACTCCACTACCAAGAATTGCTAGCTAACACGTAATCAATTTGTCATTTTAGAAACGTTCAAAATAATGTTGTAGTTAAATCAACAAATAAATAAATTTTATAAAATAAACATTAAAGTGAGATCATCGCTTTTAATGGAAATATTTAGTTACAAATACATCAACCACTAAACGAGGTTCAGCTAAAAGAGCATTTATTAGTGAACTAAAATCAAAACGTTAAAACTCTTCTGTAATCAACTAGCGAGTTAATAATTGAATATGGTTGCGGAAAGTAACTAATTAAATTCAGCAGAGCCAGCAAAAGGGATTTGAACACGTTTGGCATCGAGCTTTTTCCGACGTCCACAAATAAGAGACTTATAATTGAAAAAAACTCGAATATCCTTGTGTCAATGTCATTAATTGTTAATTCGATAACCTCAAATAATACAACGGTGTTATAAATTATTTAAAATACTAAATAAAAGAAGCTAAATAAACATGATTCCATAATTGACTAGTAACGTCAATTATTGATTGTGCCAAATTGGAAAAATCGACTAAAAATTGCAGATTTTTATCTGTAAAATTGTGGTTTATTGGTAAATATGACGAATTTGAACTAGATTTTGAAACAAACTATTTCCTTCTAAAGAAATATTACCTAGAACTATCCCTTTAATTAACCCCTTGCCGCTTTTTATGATTGATAAGTGTGGCACCTTCACAAAAAATTTTGCTTGCAAGTTTCATATTTGGCACACTTACTTTTACACATGCAGCCTAGCTGGAGCAAACATTGTAACAAGCCGAGCAAAAACGCATGTTTTGTCTGCATATGTTCGCCGGCTAAATTCCTTATTTTAGCTGTTTGTAAATGTGGAGATAACGTGCTATTGTGCCTTTGCTTCTTGTTCTGGCACAATTCATGGTAATAGGTATTGTGTGATATGACTAAGTTTTTAGATAGATACAAAGACCATTAATAGTAAAAAACAAAGTAACAGTAAGTGTGATATCAAACGGATACGTAAGTGGAGATAATAGTCTTTCAGACGATAATGAGCAACAAAAAGGAGGAATTTGTGTGGAATTTGGATATAGAATTGGAGAAGTTTCTAGTCCCCTACCTGGCGCCTCCCTGGTAGTGAATCGGGGAACGACTCCCAGATATGGGCGAAAGGCTAGCTAGTGAAAAAAAAAACGCGGCCGAAACAGCTATACTGGTTTACATACTGCGATGTAGATAGAAAACGTCTTACTATAGTAACAATTTCCAAACAAAATCAAATAGCTGAAATGGGGAGAGGGTGCTAAGAATCCCTGCGAGGCCAAACAAATTTCAAATCATTAATAAATGAAAGTACACAATCTATACAACAGAATGATAGCGAATTTGGATACTAAGTTGCGTCGCCTAGGCATAGACATCATAGGAGTAAGCGATGTAAGATGTCCATGATCTGAAACAAAAAAAGAACTCAAACTGGCACTCTTTACTACTCCGGGGACGACAAACCCAGACACCAGCATGAAGTGGGAGTCTTACAAACACACAGGATTGTAGAATCCGTCATGGAATGGTTATCAATACATGAGAGAGTAATAATACTAAAGATCTGCACTTTCTATCGCATTGTGAACATAATACAAAAATATTCTCCACAAATGACAAAGCACGGAAGACTTAGACAAATTTTACTAAAAAAGTGAAACAACAATAATTATAACAGGAGATTTTAACATCAAAATTAGGAAGCTTGTCGTAAGAAGTGTATGGACTTGCCACACGAAGTGAAAGAGGTCTGCATTAAATATAAAATCAATCGTAAACACATGCTTCCAACAACATCCTCGACGATTTTGTACATGGATATCACCTGCGAATAACAATCAGATCGACTTCATGTTGGTAAAAAATCATTTAATGAGATTTGTACAATATGCAACAACTTTCCCTGGAGCAGGTATAAACAGCGACCACAACTCAAAACTCCGTGCTCAAATAGCAGAAAAATTATACTCTCGATTGCAAGAAATAAACAGGGTTGAATACAGAACAGCACTTGAGCAGCAACAAAAAACAACAATGAATAAATGACGAAATTCTACAACTTACGAATGAGAGAATATTACAGATCTTAATAAATATAAAGCACTAACCAGGCAAATTCGAAGAGCTTGTCAAAAATGCTACAGAAATATGGCTAAATGGAAACTTCCTTGAAGGAAGGAAATACATGATTCAGCTATATAAAAAGATCGAAGTGCTTACCAATAAACAAAAACACAACAAAGGGATCCTATCAATAAAATTTTGATGGGTGTAAAAGAAAAATTGATAAGGTTGTTAATCAATATATTGTTTATTGAAGAACTTCTTTATGACAAGCGAAGGCAACATCAGCATCAATGAGCAAGTCCCAACAAAAGAAGAAGTTAAACAAATCTTACGATTTAACAAAAATAGCAGAGCTCCTGGCACAGACCAAATATACGCAAAAACTCTGAAAGTAGTTGCAGAAAAAGATGGACCAGGTCTGATCACATTGCCATCCTTGTTCAATTCAATCTACGAACACAGAAGAATCGCAGATGATTGGCTCAAATCAACTTTCATCGGCCTACTTAAAAAAGTTAACGCCACTCAATGTCATGATCACACATGAATGTATAAAACTTGCAAAAGACAGATCAGTGCATTCAACTGCGTACAACACCAAAAGTTTGTAGAGATCCTAAGATTGGTGGGTTTGTATTTGAATCAAATCGCGGAAGTTCGAGTTGATGTCCCAATTGCTATTCACCATATACTCGGAAACAATATTTGATGCCGTCATCAACTATTCAGAACTGGGAACTAGGGTAAACTTATGAACCAACTGCAAGAATACAGCGCATGGTATAGTCTTCGAATGAATACCTCGAGGACAAAGCTAATGATCTTCTCAAAGACGCCATGAAGAGAGACTCTCCTTATAAACGATATCCCTATAGACCAAGTAGGCTCTATCTGGGTGCCGTAATGTACGGGAACTGTTATCACAAGACCGAATTAGCAGCTAGAATCGAACAGGGAAGAAAAGCATTTATGCAAATGAGAAAGGTCTTACACCTATATATAAGACTACTTCGTTGCTGTATCTATCAAGTATTGTTATACGAATCAGATAGCTGGTCAGTGAGTCTATTGCTAGATAAAAAGATAAACTCTTTCTTTTTTAAGTTTTGTTGCCTGGTAGGATAATAAATTGGTGACAACTGCTTCAATATATATAGGAAATCAGCCAGTGTCTGAAGTAACAAGGCTTTCTATATACAATAACTATATGGGTGGATGGGTGGAAAAAATGGTATTTGATGATCTGCTTTCATTTCATAGATATGATATATGTCAATGTCTGGTTTTTGTGGAGAAGTCGTAATTCCGATATGTATTTGCTTCTATTCGCCTAAAAGACCTTCATTTGCCGAAATTCCAGCTCATAAAGTTCAGATAAATCCTTTATTTTTTTGCGAAAAGCGTAAAGTTAATCTTTGTCACAATAATTACAGAAACTTTTTTTAGAAAGAATACAGAATAATGTTTTCTATATTACTTTTATTTTGTGTGATATATTTATATGTATAATCTGTCTAAAAACGTATATTGAAGTAAACTACAATAAATAGCAACAAAAAGTACAGGAAATGGTCGTAATAATAAACATTTGAAAAATTTGACGTTTTAGACAGATTGTTAAATGTAAACTATGTTTGCTCGGTTACTAATGGATAATAATACTATCTTTTTTCTGCTTTATAAATAAATAA